CTTATACAAGCTAATCTAATCTATACTATAATATTATAAAGAGGCACATTTTGTTAGTTTTTTTTGTTTGCTTGATTATTTGTTTGAACGCGTCAATCTCAGGAACTACTAATGCGATTTGAAAAATTATTTTTGCATTAGATTGCCAGTTTATTCTTCCAGAATATGCTATAAAAGGCTATAGGCTAAATATTATCATGCTACTACCGAAAGGAGCGGAGCAGCAATCTACATGTTCTAATATTATAAAGAGGAAAGATTTGATTTTTTGTTTGTTTGTTTGTACAGAATAGGCTCCGAAACTACAAATCGATTTAGTTAAAATTTGATAAGAAGATAGTTTGAGTGAGACCCTGGAAAGGACATAGGATAGTTTTTATCCCGGAAATCATCCCTCAAAGGGGTGAAAATGGGAATGAAAGTTTGTATAGGGAATCAACCTAGGGATGAACCCGAGCGAAGCGAGGGTGAGTCGCTAGTATAATATATACTCTATCTATTCCATACTAACCGATAAAACATACCTAGGAACGAATTCGTGCGAAGCGAGGGTGAGCTAGTTACGAAATAAATAGGAAAAGTGCATTCATAGCGTCAACACACAACATTAAAAAAACAAGCACAATATTAAAATTATTCTAACCCTTAGAAAATAAGGGTATTTTTTTTAACTACTACCGACTATAGAGGTTATATACACAATGATGTTATTTTAATAATTCTTTATTATAAATATGACAGAATAATAAAATTAATAAAATTTAATTGTCCGTCGTTATTGAGCTTCAAATTGCACGATTACAAACTTAAAATACGTTAAACATCACCTGTCTGATTATAACTACACTTCTAGGCAATATGTAGATTACATTGATGATGATGTTAATATGATAATGATAATATTCTTAATTTATATCCCGTGGGATAAAGTATTGAAAAAGTAGATCGATTATGATGGGATTTTTTGTGGTGGGATTCGTTCAAGTGGATAGAAAGAGGTGTGCATGGAATAAGGGATAGAAATTTTATGGATTATTATCTACGGGATATGGTGAATATATAATGTTAAGGGGAGTATATTGTCATTTATATAAAATATGAGTACAGATTATATATGCGTAATACAAATTGCAGTGGAGGTTGGCGGAGACATGAATTTCAGGTGCTAGAATTTAAAGACATTCAACAACAAAGTGGAAGTGTATGTGCCCTGAGTAGTTAATAGATAACTTTACTTGTAATAAAACACTTAATTACTGTTATTCATATTGTTGCTTTAATTATATTTTAAATTCCTTTTTGTAACAATATAAGATCTCGGTGGAGGTTTTTTAGTATTTTGAAACACTTGTACGTATTGTGAGAATATTTCGGATATACTCACAAAATGTTACTCAAATAGTTTTAACAATTGCTTTGTGTCTAAATTACAGTGATGTTTTGCTTTGTGTTAAAAACTCAGTGAATTGTTGTAAAACAAGTTAATTAGCTGGCCTGTTGTGACAATAAGCGGACAGCGATGTCACCCGCTAAGCGTGAACCGGTTTGATTTATTTGTTGTGTTTGCGAAGGAACTACTTCTTCTCCTGGAAAGTAGAAGCTTATTATTGCCATTTAATGCTACGTAAACTTCGAAAACAATATTATTACAATCGTTAAAGAAAAAGTGGGATAATGTATAATGTAAATTATTTTGTTTAAACACAACTTTTTTGACACAATTTTCGAAAACAAATGAAAATTAAATCCAATAAAAAAGTATAAAGTTGTTTGCATGAATAATAAAAAGTGGCTGACTTTGATTATTTCAATGAGCGCATAATATCATGATAAGCAATTTTCACAGGCTTCGCTTGTGGCTACCGGTAAAACGAAGCTCTAAATAGGGCAGAGAAATGGGAAGCTACCTAATTGTAAATTAAAAAGTTCGCGGAGTTACGACACCACAGTCCACAATGACACCCCGTCGACTGAGGGGATCTCCATCCGCCCTCACTACGCCCGCCTCCCAGACGAGGGGGCGCAGGCACCCGTAGAAAGCGTGTGACATTTTGTTTTAAAATATTGTCCGCACGAATACATTCACGTGGGTCATTTTTAATCGTCTGTCCGCTTTCTCTTTTTTCGCTTCACAAGCAAATGTCTGCGCTTGTGAAAACAATATTTTATATCATACACTTTCACGACTTCTGCCAAAAAAATTTTAACATTGAGCTTATTCAAATGATACAGTAAGATCTTAATTACCGTAGATAGATAGCAGGCGCTGGCGCACGGGGCGTGAAAGCTCAATAAACGCGCACATTACCCCGCTATTAAAGTCCACAGAGTGTGCATAACAGGTTTCGGATAGTTGTGATACCGCTTGTTCTCGAAGCGGAGTCGAGGAAGTCGGTTTGTATGGGGTTGTTTAGCTTACCGCACCAAATATTGTGGTGTCAAGGCCGTCTGCTTTCCTCCGGCATTCCGTTCCCGACGCCCACTGAGGAATATCTCACGCTTGTGTTATGTAATGTTTCGTGGGGATTCGGTTACGATTGACTTACTTGATTCACCTGTTCGTTTTATTATATCAACGGAGATATCTAATTAAGATGAATAAGAATAATTTTTGTATAGTAAAAATCGATTGTAACGTATAAGTTATGTCAAGAGACATGTTGTTTTTATATACCTATCAATATACATATACAGTACACAATATACAGTAGATACATAAATATGCTAAAAAAAATTAATGTGACCGTTTTATCAAAGTGAACAAAATATACTCAGTTAAATAGATAATATTTTTTTGATTATAATATAAATTTCATAAATATACTTCTTATCAAGGACAATTAGTTCTCCTGCTGTATAATATTATATAAGAACAAGTTGATGATAAATTGTGAACGAAAAACCACAATCTATGATTTTATTTTTCTTTTAAATTATAGATTTACTATCGACCGAAATAAAATAAATACAAATTTTTACTTATGCGTTAGAAACATATTTATTTGAAAACTAGCATTGCAGCGGCAATGTTGTAGTTATTCTCAGAAATTAGGTATTTTCCCGTGGTAAAAAGTATCCTATATGATGGCCCGGATAACCAGCTGTCATCATACCAAATTTCATCAAAATCTGTCCAGTGGTTTTCTCGTGATGCGGTAACAGACAGACAGACAGACAAAAATTCTAAAAACTATAGATTCGGACTGTATCGATAATAATGTCTATTTCAATAAGATTTTCTGAAAAATATTTAATGTACAAATTCGACTTAGTTACAATTTTATTATAGGTATGTATTGATGTTGCAAACGCGTTTGTTAGCAAACTATTACTCAATAATAGGAATGCATTGGATGCAGCGAGTTCCATTATTTGCTCTTGTTAAATCAATACAGTCGGGCAATGTACTCACACCACTCGATTCGCTTATAATTCCAGATTCATAGCGGCGGCTTATTTCTCATAAAAAGTTGTTCCCTTCAAATGTAGTAATTTCGCAAGGAGGGTGGCGCCCCATCCACCGATCCACTCGGGCTGGCCTTTTAACGCCGTAGATATTGTCTCTTTAGTTAGATCTGTATTTACTCCAGTAAGTAAGACTTGCGGTGAAACCTCTAAGCTTTTATCGGCTCCAATCTTTATAATAGCTTATTAATCTAAATAATATTTTCGCATTGCATCTGTGTCTTTATTAATCATGTGTTTATAGATAATATGGTCACTTGTATTGTACTTTGTAATTTATTATTGTACTAATTTAGAGTTCAGAGTTTAAACTTTTAATAAAATAAAACCTATAATTCAAAATTGGCACACAGTCACAATACTAAGTATGAAAACTTAAATATAAAGTGAGAAAAAAAGACATTATTGCATACATTATTTAACATCTCTTATATTTTATTTAAAAAAATTTAGACACTGTAAATCATTTTGGTAGACGATTTTGTTATTTTTCTTAAATATACCATAAAATATACCAAAGTTATTTACACGCTGTTATCTAAATGTAACATGCGGTTGAAAAGTCGATATTACGATATCAAAATATCAACTGCCTAATAAGCTTATTTATTTCTACACATTAAGTCATAATTCAAAACGTTCGTTATTAACTTTTTAAATCTGTCCGGAGGCCGGTAATACGTTATTGATATTTGTGAACGGGCTGGATAATAATATTTGTGTATAGTTTTCCATTGTATCTTGATCCTTCTTGCCGTTCTCCTCTATATTAAAAGCGATAAAAAAGGAATTATGTATAAGAATTGAGGGATCCGTTTAGGCTGGTTATAGTGTATTGGTGTCTACAATGGGTGGAGAGGGTCACATCGAAATGAGCCGGCCGCATAATTGTTAAACTTTACGAGGGTTGAACGACTTGTCAACTGTTGTATGGAATAAACTTAATAAAAAAACCCGCTACATTTAAAAATTAAAGTATTAAATACTATATTTCTGTAAATTAGAAAAATGCTCATAAATAATAAATATTTATAAATTCTATTACAATTATTTAACTTTATATAATAACTAATATAGGATAGTAAGGATGACTTGCTATTTGGCGTATCGATAGCTTTATTGTTGACGTCACTACTATTCAATGGTTACGTTCATCGTGGTCGATTTAGCTATGACTAAGTAAAATGTGAATGCTTAAATATGATATCAAAGGTAAGGGTTACTGAAATATTACGTTAAATATTATTAAACATTTCAGTTAATAGCTCCTATAGCTGCAGATCATAACACAGCAGCTTGGCTTTAAACAATAGAGCCACAATTACAATAAACACGTTATAATAAACTTCATGGTAACCTTTCTAAAGCGTGAATGAGGTAAGTGGTCTGATACCGATCACTAACTGCCGCGCAACAATACACTTCATCCCTTATTAATTATTTGATTGTAGGCATAAAGGATGCCGTAATCGTCAGAATAATAATATCATCGCACCGCATAAAGAACCCCAAGTAGCGACAACACAAGCGTAAAAATGACACGCCGGGCCGCCAATATGTTTGTGTGTATTAGATTAGATTTATTCGACTGGGTCACGCACACTAGCGCCGCGCTACCCCGAAGGGGGTGCATCGTCGTGGGGGCGCACCACTACACTCGCAGCGCCACCACCGCCCGCCAGATGGTCGCACACACGCACGCCGCGAAAGGGAAAGCTACACTGTGTAAACAAATCGCAGGAGTAAGTGCCGTCCCTCTCGGTTACAAAGCCGGTGTGTGTCACATGATTGTGTGCTGTCGACACGATCCGACGTAGATTGTTCTGTGAAATTGCCAGGTAATAGGCCGAGGGACTATAGCATTACACATACTTATTGGTGGGTTTAGGCGCTCAACGGCCTAATCGAATTGAATATTGGCGACACATTGCCGCGTTGACTTACAAATTAATGGGAAAGATTAATTTATAATTGCTGAGATTAAATACTATGTTAATTTTAACTACATATTACAAGGGTATACCTTTAACTTATACTTGCGAATCCTTTACAATAATGATGTAATTGTTTATTAAGTGTTAATGAAAGTATCAACTGAAATAGATATTAGCTACATTAACTTAGAAGACAATAAAATCTATTAGAGTACATTAAGAATTTGTTTTGCAACACAGGCGGTCAGTACCACTGCACCCGCCCTAAGAATTGTCTAAGGCGAGCATAGACGGTTAGTCATAACTTATAAGTTATTGCAAGCATCTCAGATACTAACACTTCTACAGATAATAAATAAGGCGTTATGTATATTAATTGAATTTATTTAAAAATACATTTAACCTTTTGTCCTCCAAAATTGTCTACTTTGTACAAATTAACTCAAATTAAATTGCAGGAACTGTGCACGTGACTGGTATTAGCTTGCTTATCCATAGGTCACAGGTTGGATTTCTTCATTCAAAAATGTATGGCGCATTGGACTAGGTGAAGTTTAGCCAAAAGTTATTATGCTAGAAAATAGAAGAAGTTAACAAGTTTTCGTGGTAACAATAAAAATCTTTTGTAAGATAAAAAATTTAACCCATGTCCTGGGGTCAGATTTTTACGGGATTGAATTGCTAAGAGTCTTAGTATCAAAAATGAAATATGACATGGACATAGATTGCATCATGGGAGATAGACACTACCTTTAACACCCCAAACGAAGATTTTGTAATACTCGAACCTCAATTTTTTACAATATCGTAAGGTTCCAGTATTGCAAAATCAAAATATACCTTCAAAACTCAATTTTAACTACTTATTTATTTTATAAGTTCAATGACTTTAGATATATTGTGACTGTAATAGGTACCTACAGGTAGCATTTTAGACCATTAAACATGTTAAATGCGTCAACGCTAATTATTTTGTTCTTTATCTTATCACTTAAGCCGTTAACTATAAACGAATTTGTATGCGCTATAGTATCAGACGGTTAAAGAATAGTTATCAACAAAACGTGTGCTAATTTACTTGGTTACAAACAATTTACGTATTTCCTACATTATACCGTAAAATTATAATGATTATGATGCTTTTATACTTTAATGTAATATAATCTTTAGTAGGTCATTGTTAAAACATAATTCATAGCTATATAACTGTTAATCATAAAGAAATCTTCTTCAGATTTAAATAAGGCTATCAATCAGGGTGTCAGTGCTCGGCGACAGGGGGGATTAAAAGAATCGACTGACGATAATTTACACTAACACCCAACTTCTTCCGCACGCAAACATTCAAAATTTTAATATTTTAATTTTAGTGTTGTATTGACTTTAAATACAGGGTTTTAATTAAATATGTTTTCTATGTTATTTATTTGAACCAAATAATAATGATTTAGTTGTCCTGTACAATTTTACGACTATTTATTGAGAAAGAGGTTAAGCAGTGGCTACTCATTTCGTCCTTTTCTTATTGGTATGTTTCGTGACGTTTTCGCCAATAATTGTAAAATCTTATACTTATATTATAAAGAGGCAGAGTTTTTGTCGGTTTGTTTGTTTGCTTGCTTGTTTGTTTGAAAGCGCTAATGCCAGTAACTATAAATCCAATTTGAAAAATCCTTTTTGCATTAGATAGCCCGCTTATTGAGGACGACTGAGCGAACACTAGTACCTATACCCAGTAAAAAAATGGCCATATGGGTGAAATAATTACTTTAAAAAGATTTAGTCGGTCAGTTAAGTCGGTGTTCGTTTTTTGTAAAAAGTCAATAATTAATTTATTTTTAATAATCGTGCTATGATATAAAATACCTAAGATATTAATATAATTACAAACTAGCAGAACCCGTGTCTTCGCTCGCGCTAAAACTACAAAAAATCTCTAAAAAGATAGTTTTATACAAACTTTCATTCCCTATTTTACCTCCTTATGGGATGAATTTCGAAAAATGTTAAAACACATATTTATTTAATTTCATTAAAGAGCAATAATACCAAGTTTCAAGTAATTCTGATCATAAATATTTTTTGGGTAGTATTATAACGGGATCTTTTCCCGTGGGAAAGAGATAATTTCCCACGGTAAAAAGTAGCCTATGTCTCTAGCCTGCCAACTATCTCCACACAAAAAATACACCAATCCGCCTAGCCGTTTCGACATGAAAGAAAGACAAACAAACAAACACACTTTCACATTTATAATATTAGTATGGATATTATTGTAAAGTTTCATCAAAATCTAATCAGTAGTTTTTGTGTACTAAGCTGTATAAGTTACTATTGTTTTTTAACTATCCCACGGAAAATGTTTAATTTTCCAGGGTAAAAAGTATCTAAGATGTTGCCCGGGGATATAAGATACCACCATGCAAAATTTCATCTAAATCGGTCCAATAGATTCGGAAATAAGCCCGTACAAACAGACAAATAGATAAACAGAGAAACAAAAAATTTGAAAAAAGTATGGATTTGTTCTATTTGTCTTCTTACATCCCCCTGACTCAGTTTTTAGCATATTTTTTCTATGTACAGACATTCGACCTCTACAGTTTTATTATATGTATAGATAACAAACGTCATATTTGTACTGTATGTTTTATCAACGCCTTAGTCATTATAAATTTCTAAGCTTAAATATCTCGTTGTCAGTGGTCTTAAATCTAGACTCATGATGTGTCATAAAACTGTATTAAAAATAATTTTACTTCTCTTCTAATTTAAAACTGTTTTTAAAAATTATGTTAATACTGTTTCAATTACAATTACCAATTATTAAGGCTTTATATTTATTAATAACACGTCTTTAGGGAGATAAAAATATTAGATATAATCGTTGTCTTCTACCCAAAGTAAAAAGTATATTATAAATAATTTTATTTACACTAACGCCAATTTACTTATTATCCATGGATAGTATTCTGAAACTCGTGTATATACTCCGGGATAGGACACATTGGCGCATTCTTCACCCCAAGACACAATGCCTATTAAGATATTGTTCATAACCAAAGGACCTCCAGAATCGCCTTGACAAGCGTCTCTAGGGGGGTTATTGGCTGAGGCACATATCATTCCGGTGGAAATAGTTGCAATTTTTCGGTATGCGCGAGCGCAAGCTGTTTGAGAAACAACTTCCACATTTGCAGCTAAGAGCGATGAAGATAGCTTGCCATTATACTGAAACAATTATAGTATAACATTATACAGGGATGTGGCTGCGGAATCAAAAGTCAAAGAAAGTGACTATTAATCCAATTACTGTACGACTAATATATAATTATTTATCCAGCTGCTCCCTTTTGTTTTTTTTTTTATTTAGATCATCTGTATAATGTCCCGATCGACCCAACCTGGATAACGTAAGTTGAGAAGGCTAAGGCGAGAGCGAAGCGTAGCGTTCTTCGCCTTCTTGTTAGGTCTTTTTTTTTATTTCACACCCATAACCCCCCATATCATAATTACTTTGTTATTTAATATTTGCTAACAGTTTTGACTAGGAAAATATATTTGTCATAATCAATAGCCAAACTAATAAAAATAATATTAGTCATACAGTTATAGACAGTTACTGTATCAATAGGGTCAGCCAAAGTCAAAAATAATTAAATTGCATTTAAATGTTTCTAGCGTCCTGTACACAATTAATGACTTTATTAATCATTGAAGCTAATAATATCAATATTACTTACCGCTGTTTTTCCAAATCCAGATACTAAAGCAGTTGTGCCATCTGGAACATTCATAGTAGAAGGAGCGAAAAACACCGACTGCACATTTTGACCGAAATTTATTTTTTTACTGGTTACTAGCATTGCTATATCATTAACAACCGTCACAGAAGAATAACTTTCGTGCACGTAGAGTCTGGATAGTTCATAAGTATCCCCTCCTAAAAGTCGGTAAGAGGAGCCTACTACGACTCTATACAATGATGGATCTAATTCCGACCTGCACATAGAAATTATAACAAAAATTATTTCTTTTTCAATTTTATCAACAATTTTTGTAGTGTGTATAAGTACCTATACTCGTATAATTATAGGTATATCAGTTAAGTTAAATCTTTTTAAGATATAAAATACTAGCGACTTGCCCTCACTTCTCTTAAGTGCTTTTTGCTTCAACAAACGTTGAATATTATATACAGATAGCGTTTCTTTTTGGCATGTCTTACTTCTTACAGTAACCTATGTGTTGGTCCAGCTCTATCTGAGTACTAAAATTCATCAAAATCTGTCCAGTCGTTTCAGAGTAGACTAACAAACATACACACACACACACAAACTTTTGCATTTATAGTAGAAGTATGATTAAATAGTATGTATATTGTATATTTGTGACTTAACCAAACATTTAAATAATTATATGTTCAATTCAATTCAATTATTTTGTTCATTGGCACTTATGAGTATCGTTTGGCATAATTAAATGTTATCTTACATTTTAAAACAGTGCGTAGCTGAAAGTAGTGCTCTATTTGAAATAATGGAGGCTCCACACAAATAACCCAATCCGGAAGTTGATTTTTTACCAATCGCTGCATGATATGGAATTTGTGTTATGTCAATTGAAAATCCATTTACAACTCTACTGGTCTGATCTAACAAATCGACTGGAAGTGAATATGAAGATTTTGTTGTTGTTAAAGCTGGAACAAGGAAAATTTAGTTCATCACAACTATCATTTTTGTATAAAGCTACCACTTTTGATTAATAAATTAAGTACAGATAGATGACCAAAAATATAAAACGAAATACACATATTAACAGATACATTCATTTTTATTTATTGTTGTATATATCTTAGATAGCAAGTAGATAGATTAATACGGTCTTGTTAGCGTTATAATGCAAAAGAGACATCGACTTCAAAATCATTTAGAAGTATTTGTTCCAATTATTCCAAATTAAATAAACACTTATAAGGTATAATATATTCATTAAAAAATATTATTATGACACTCAATATACGAATGCCAAAGACGCCGCGTAATATAGATAAAAAACAGCCGAATCGGGTACTCCTTCTTTTGAAGTCGATCAAAATTTATTTAATAGCCACCGAAGGCGTGATGCTTGTTAATTTGTATTAAAAAAAATTAAAATAATGTAAATTAAAAAAGTATTCTCAAATAAATCTTACCTAACAAGAATAATAACACACATAGAACTTTCATTTTGCTTAAGATGTATGATACTGAGCTCGCATCTTATAATCTATAAGAGTTACAGATAGTTTATCAGTAGTATCTTATATCGGTGAAGAATCATATAAAATAGCTACTGACTTTGTTTATTTATTTAATCCTTTATAACACCAAAAAAGAAGTACAATTTTAAAACAATAAATATAATACTTTTAAATAAAACTACAATAAATATAATACTTTTAAATAAAACTATCTTTTCGGATGTTTTCGCGGATTTATTTGGATTTTTGGTTTCCGACGTTTCGAATGCTTTACAGCATTCATGGTCACGGGAGAAACTGAGGTGTTACATGTCTCGAAGCTATAGTTGTTACAGACAGCCTTTTTTTTAACGTTGGGAAATGCATTTACGCACGAGGTAATAAAGCCAGTACTACCCACTAAAACCCAACAAAACCTTCCCCCGTCTTAATGGGGCGTCGCAGGATCGCTTACGCATTCAACTACGACGACCCGACGGCAGGTCTGCCGAAGCAGACCACCACAACCATGGGGTTGCTCCAAGGTCCACTCTGCTATCAGAGAAGTACCAGGAGCAACCCGCATGGTACACCACCCACCAAAGAGGGCCACCTCCCACCGCCCATCGAAGAGGGCCACCTCCCTGTGCGTTTCTTGGCTTCGCGCCCGGTTGGATTGCCGGGCACTACTACTACCACGACAAGGTGAACGCACGTTGGGGGGTGTTACAGACAGCCTACCCACAGTTAACAAAATGAAAATTGCACCAATTACCTTACAATATCTTAACTTTAAACCTTTTTTATAATTTTAATGAGTTCTATAATTGAATATGGAGTATTATTTATTTAATTTTGCTGTTATTCTTATAATTATTACATTTTTAAAAATATTAATTAGTAATCTGTATTTACTGTTGCCATTATTATATTTATAACCATAAAGAAAAATGTAAAATATAGTATTAATTATTTAAGCCATATAATTGTTCTATGTGTAATTTAAAAAAGTTAAAATTAATTAAGGATAATAATTTTAATTTAGTTTGCTATTATTTAAAAAGACAAATTACTAAGAAACACTTTACAAGTTTACAAAACACAAGTTTACGTAAATAACAATAAAGAGATACTTAAACATATATTACATAATATATAAGCTTAGACAATATACGTATATATTCCACAATAAACTTACATAAATATACGTAGACTTACAAGGAAAACTTGCACTGATTATGATTGACTTTCTTACGCGTCTTTATGAGTTGACAATAATTATGTGCATATCAACAAAATGTTCTTATCTATAACATACGGCTCTGTAAAACACTTTAAAGCACAATTAAATCATTAGAGTAGAAGAATTGAATATTGGCTTATATAACAAATTGGGATGTCCCAGTGTTATCAATGAATTGGTTTAAATGGAATTTACATGTAGATTGTTTATATCTAGGGTTTATACACAGAATATTTATATTTGTTATCACTTTTAACGTAGATTTATGTAACGATTTTGTAAAATAATTACCTATTAGAGTTTACACCTTAAGAATCGATTTTCTTATAAGACCCCCGGTATGGTTTTACGAGGAGTAGTAATACATGCCTTAACTCAAAAGCGTAACGTTTTTTTGCACAACGAAGTAAATTTTTCTTTATTTAATTTTATTTCGTTTAGTGAAGTAAATCAACTTTCCTAACGATGTATTCATGTAGGTACTATAAGTAATATATATTTTACCGAATGAATATGAAAAATGTGAATAGAATAAAAATACATACATGATTTCAGTATTATAAAAAATGCGTTTGTTTACCCTCTTTGCCTATTGCATATTTAAAGACAATCGTACTTATGGAATAAACTCTAGTCGTGCATCGGAGTTAACACACACACTTTTTATGTTTTAATTTTTATCCAATATTTGACTACTTAATAATTATTGGCATTAAGGCAGTGGTAGTCCAGTGGTAACGCGCTCGCTTGGGAAACCGAGTGAAACGGGTTCAAATCTCGTTCAAAATTTTCATGTGCGAATCATTTCTAACATGATTACCACTTGCCTTACGGTAAAGAAAAACATCGTGAGCAAACCTGCATGTCTCAGAGAACCTAGCAAGTTTTCAAAAGACATGTGAAGTCCGCCAACCCGCACTTGGCCAGCGTGGTGGACTATGGCCTGATCCCCCTCGTATTGAAGTGGGACCCGTGCCCAGCAGTGGGACGTTATAAAGGGCTGAATACAATACACACATACATAATACATAATTATATATCCTAAAAGTTTGCATGTGTGTATAATGTATATATGTACGTTTGTGTATGTGTTTGTGTAAGTTTGTTACTTCTTCACTCTGAAACGGCAGACCGATTTAGATGGAATTTAGTACACATAGATTATGTAACCCAGAGTAACATTAGGCTACTGTTAACTACCTAAAGACGCACCGGAGCGGAGCAAGAGTAAATCGCTAGTTTATATATTTGTGTATAATGTTTTAATTACTCACACCTTATTAATTTTTAATAGGAACAGGTAATTTATCATAAAATTTGCAGTAATCTGCCAAATGTAAATTCACAAATGAAGACATAAAGTATTAATTGTTTTTAAATCGCCGTTGAAATGAAGCATTATGTTTGAACACGCTACATGATTTTGGATTATTACTTACTCTCGACATAAAGAAGTAATAAAAAGGTGCAAATTATATTAACAGCATTTTAATATGGTTCACTCGTTATGGTTTAAATTTTATCGGCAATGAAATCGATATCGTATAGGAATGATGAGGCGATTCCAATTAAAAAGAATAAAAATTGCTTGAGGTAATATTAAACATGATATAATATGTAGTAACATATCCATACTATGCTATATATGTGTCGCTAGTAACTACATAGTATTAAACAAAGACGCTTCCCGCTGTCTGTCTGTCGCTATGTATGCTTAGATCTTTAAAAGGTTTTTTTAATAAATAGAGCGATTCAAGAGGAAGGTTTGTATGTACAATACATGTATGTTATGTTATATAGTACAAAATAACTGCCTCGGTGGTGTAGTGGCTAGCATGTACGGCTGCACACCCGGAGGTCCTGGGTTCGAGTCCCGGGTCGGGCCAAGCTTAGTTATTGAGTCTTTCTGTATAGTAAGTCTCAGTAACAGCCCGGAGTTGGGAAGTTAGCGGTGTTTCACCCCCGTGCGTCGGAGAGCACGTAAAGCCGTCGGTCCTGCGCCTTAACTCTCACCGGTCGTGTCGAGTGGTCGTCCCACCGGAGTATGAGAGTGATAGGAATAGAGAGTGCACTTGTGTCTGCGCGTACACTTGTGCACTATAATATCTCCTGCGCAGTTGGCTAGTCTCAATGAGATTGGCCGCCGTGGCCGGAATCGGCCAGGAGAACATCATCATCAGTACAAAATAAACGAGAAATTCAAAGATTTCTATTCCATACTACATAGGTACATAAAACAATTTTGGTAAGTCATCGTGTAAGTTGTAAGAGATTTGAACGAATTGAAATAAAACTTAGCTAGTATTTTCAACAAGTATATTGGAAATAGCTATGTTTTATTTCATATTTTAGTCAGTTTGTATTCGTTGAGTAGATGCAATTCTAAATATGTATAACATGACTCACTTGTAAAGTGGGGGTCAAGCTTACTGTTTGTGGACTAAAAAGAAATTTACATACAGTGAAAGCTTCAACAGTGATTTCTTAAAGATGTACTGTTGGAATATGTGTAAATATATAATTCATTGAGTTAAAGTTTTTACTACTGTAAAAGCGTTGAATAATTGCATTGGTACATATTATCTAGGACGAATTTAACCAGCGCCATCTAGTAGTGCACCAGTATTACGGCTTGAGGCGAGGCTCTTAATGATATATTATAATAGGTACAATTATAAATTTTTATTGACACTATATTTTAATAGTTTTTACACGTTATTTTATACTAATAATTACATAAGCGTTTTCAGAGACAAGGATATTGTCAGAATTTCATAGACAAGTATTATGATTAATGCAATGTGAGTGCGTTTCCGTAATTTTTGGCATTTCATTATCGATGTTCTAGGAAGTGTTAATTTGATAAAATTTATGATCAACCATATTAAAATTTATGCCTATCTATTTATCATGGCATGCAATTGTGGCAACATAACTTAAAGGTAGTTTTTTATTACCAACAACACTTAATACCTAACAACAAAAAGATGAGAAGGTACGGAAAAGTACCGAAATTTTTATAGAGAAAAAAATGTATACCTAAATATTTTTTTCTAAAAACTTAAAAAAAGCCTTGTAAAAAAATTGTAAAAAAGAAAATATTTTAATATTGTAAATATTACATAGTGAGTTTAGGCATTCTATTTGTAACAATGTTTTATCAAACAAAATATTAAGTTCCGTCATATCATTTTTGATTATAATAAAAAATGTAAAACAATTTAACAAATGAGACACTTTAAAGAAACAGTTTAAACAGTAGATAATACGGTTATTGGGCAAGATAAGATAGCGCTAGTTAAATCAATGGAAAGTCGGGTTCATGGGAGCTGCGCCCACGCAGCGCGCATTCCGGTGGGAGCCAAAGACCTTTCGCTTCCTGGATCACACACAACGAAAAAGGTATCTAACTATATTTGAGATTTCCAACTAGCGATCTCCTTTAATAAAAACATAATGAAACATTAGTTCTTAAAGCATCTTGGATGATTGTTTCGGACGATTTTTTCTAATATGTATTTAATTGTAACATTTTCTTTAAACTGGTAAAAGCTAAGTAAATTTAAAGTAAACAATAATATTATTGCTGTGAACTTTAGTATTTTTCAAAATATTTTTTTATTAGACAATAGTAATAAGAAATTACTATATATATTATATGATTAATCTCTTAAGATGTGCAAAAAATACATTGCAATATCAACATAACTGTTAGAGCCACAAGAAAAATAAAAATATTTTTATTAACCTGTATTTTTAAAGTTAAGACTTAAGACTATAATAATGTAAAATATTTATTTTATAATATACGAGTAAGACAAGGAATACGTAAGTAGCATTTTTATGTGTACTTTCGAGTCTTCGTGCAACCATTCTAGAACTTTGCTCCTTTTCGATATAATATGTATGTATGTATTTTAAATTGAATACTCAATTCTTGTTTTCTAATGAAATGCTTATTAGAATAAGTTATCCTTACAACTGTTACAAATACGAAAATTTTTATCTGTGTGTGTTTGTATTTATTACTGTTTCACACTGAAATGCAAATGGCTGTACGAATTTGGATTAATATTTACCAAAATGAGACTATAGCCTGGATTAACACATAGAATACTGTTACTAATTAAAATTGCCAAAAGGTGGCGTTACCTGTATATTAGTCGAGGGTGTTGCTAGTTTCTCTAAAAAATAAAATTCTCGTGTCACAGTGTCTCGTGTCAAAGTTATGTGCAGTATAGTACAGTGGTTATATGAAACTCCTCTGAAATGGCTTGACCGATGAATTCTTATGAAATTTTGTGTATATTCAGTAGGCCTGAGAATAGGACGTAAACTATTTTTCATACCCCAAAGTGGATACGTTTTGGACAAAAAAAATGTTTTAATTTTTTTTTATGACTCAGCAATAAAAAATACATAGATACAATCCTACATTTTCATTAAGTATCGTGTAAGTTGTAAGAGACTTGAACGATTGAGGTTATATGCATGTACATTGTACATATATATAATGTTTGTTTTGTCGAGATAATTTTTCATAGTTTTACCATGTTACGGTACGTAGTGCGGCAAATAAGGTGTTAACAAAATATATTTATATGGACTAAATTGACTAATACTCAGAACATATGTATATCGACAAAAATACTAAAAATTAAGTATACTTTTCTCATTAAGTATATTCCTAATAAAATATGCAACAGACAATCTACATAATAAATAAATATATTTATTAAATATCTCTATCATTTAAAAATGCATACGATAAAATATTAACTTTCTTCGACATATTTGTGGTAAAAACTATTAATGACGTTACTTATTGTGATATCGCACGCGAATATATAGCATGTAATGTTAAACATAATATATTATGTACAAGTTATTTTAGTTAGTGTTATTATAATTAATGCGAATGTGTGCCTTTTAGTTTGTCCTTTTCCTTTGTAGTTGACCAACGAATCGACGCGATTTTCTGCATAGTTAAAGTGTTGGAAGAGTAACAATAGGCATCTTTTATTCTATACTACTACATATATTATACAAACAAAACGTGTGGGTACTTATGTACGTACGTAATGACGGGATGGCCAATAAAACGTCGTTATTCTCGTAATTAATGTATATATTGTACTGCTTTCCACCAAATATGAAGCAAGACTAAACTAAATATTCTAACAAAGTTCATAACGAAAAGTAGGGTTGACCTACTTTTTAAAATATTGACAAGTGTCAACTGACATTCAGAAAATACATTTTATAAACACAGAGTATAAATTCGGTATATAAATTAGTAATCCTAACAGCTCGGCCTTCCTGAGCAAAGGCGAGTCCTCTCGCAAAACAATGAAAACTACAAAACAAAAGAGATTTTTTTCATAAATGTACATATTTAAGTGCTCGATTAGCTAATTAAACAACAACATGAATGTAAATCAAAGGAATAATCTTATAAATCTTAACAAATTCATTTTAAGTTAATATTAATTAATTTAACATTAATAAATAGCAATACACAAAAAAAATACAAATCATCTATGTGACCAAATACATTAATTACTATAATATAATAATTAAAATTAATATCACCTAACTAATTATTAAATTTCAAATTCCTCTATCAGGTATCAGATTTCTATAGTCATCTGTGCTATCTCTTTCTCTGCACTGACCGTATCACGGGCCTACGAACGGTATAATCTGCTGGGGATATCCATGCTAAATAACACTCACCGCTCAGCTTACACCGCCGCAGTCTGCCCTCTGTCATCTGTGCAAAATTAATCATGACACTGATACATCTGTAGCCTACATCTGCGCAGTCTGCGACTAAGTTATCTATGCTAATCTTTAGCACTAACAAAGTTGCCCACGCTGTAGTCTGCTACTGTAATCATCTGTGTCTCAGCACTGACTATTTTCTCATTTCAAATCATAAATTACTTACTGTTGAAACAATTAGTATGTTACTCATTACTCTGAATCATTATTATCATCATCACTTTGTGAACTACAAATATCTCTTTGAAAACTGACCCATGGATGAATCTTATCTAACGCAACTACATTTTCATATCGCTTATTATTTTTACGAGTTAATGGTGTGTCTTCGATTAAATATCTATCGTTAGGTAACACTTTACAAATTCTATATGGTCCTTGCAACTTTGGTAATAATTTCTTTGGTTTACCTGCACTATCCTTTTCATTGTAATTACGTTCTATCCTAACCAAATCACCTATTTTGTATGAATGACCTGCTTTACGATTTTTATCATATTTATTTTTCATCGCCATTTCATTATCTCTCATTCGATCACTAGCGTCTTTCCTAATACCTACAAGTTCATTTTCAGTTAATCGATCTTCTGTATCATCAAATATTTCGTTTATTATGTTTTCTGCACTACCTATTATTTTATGCCCAAACAATAGTTCTGATGGACTCTTTTGTGTAGTTTTATGAATTGTTGTATTTAACCCAAGCTGAATATCTTGCAAGCATTCATCCCACAAGTTATCTTTGAGTCCATGACACTTTGTACTGAGCGCATCAGAAATGGTCCTGTTAAACCGCTCAACTTGACCATTTGCCCTTGGGGTTGCTACTGAATTTAGGATGTGTTTTATACCACGGCCTTGAACAAAAGATTTAAATTGATTGCTAGTGAAACAGGAACCTCTATCTGTTATAAGTCTTTGTGGATTTCCAAAGTAACTAAAATGATTTTTAAATACATTGATTGTACTTGACGTTTTTGTATTCTTTACAGCCGTTAAATTGACATATTTAGTAAATGCGTCTATAATAACTAGAATAAAGGTGTTTCCTCTTCGACTACGAACGAAGGGACCGAGATGATCAGCGTGTATTGTATGGAACGGTATATCTTTCTTAGGTATAGGAAATAACATTCCTTCTTTCTTACCTCCCGGAACTTTATGATATGCACATTCTAGGCATGAATTACAATATTTCTTAATAAATTTTCTCATTTTAGGAAACCAATATGTAGATCTTACGCGTTCAAGAGTTTTTTCGAATCCGAAGTGACCGATATCATCGTGATTCATGCGTAGAATTTGCCATCGAACACCCCTTGGTACAACCCATCTAATACCTCCATCTATGTTTCTGTAAACCTTACCCCCTTTCAACTGATAATTATTATATATATCAACGGTATCTTTAGTATTTTTTGATTCCAGTATTTCCTTTATTCTCTTAATTTCCTCATCATTATTCTGTATAGTAGCTATCCAATCTTCAGTGGTGAAATTTAATACGTCTAATATTTGTAAGTCAGTATCCGGATTAGAATCATTAACAGGACCCCTACTAAGCGCATCGACATGGCCCATTTTATTCCCTGGTCGATATTCAATTTCACAATCAAACTCTTGAAATTGAATCCACCACCTCGCTATACGTGGAATAAGATCACGTTTTGTAAAAGTTGTACGCAAGGCACTACAGTCTGTTACAATTTTAAATTTTATGCCTAATAAATATACTCTAAACCTGTTTAATGAAGATATTACCGCAAGTGTCTCTTGTTCGAATGAATGCATCCTTTGCTCTTCACTAGTATTTTTTCGACTATAATAAGCAACGGGTCGTAACAAATTATCAGCCCCTTTTTGCAATAAGATTCCAGCTATACCTATTTTAGACGCATCTGTATGCAATTCAGTTTCAAGCTTTTGATCATAGAGTGCCAATATAGGTCTTTTCACTAATTTACTTTTTAATGTAATAAATGAATTTTCTTGTTGATCTGTCCAATTCCATGAAAAATTTTTCTTAAGTAAGTCAGTTAACGGCCTAGCAATAATCGCGAAATTTTTTATAAACCTTCTAAAAAAACTTGTCAAACCGATAAATCGTCTAATATCATGTATATTTTTTGGTTTTGGAAATTCTGAAATAGCTAATGTTTTTTGATAACCCGGTCTTATACCGTTCGCACTAACTTCAAACCCTAAGAAATCAATTTTATCATAAAAGAAATGGCATTTGCTTAATTTTAAGGTAAGCCCCCCCTTCTGTAGTAAACTTAGAACCTCACGCAACCTACTTATTCCTTCAGAATAAGACTTAGCTGGAATTAAAACATCATCCATATAAATTAAAGCATATTTTATTTTAGCTTCTGCGAGTATTTTATTCATTGTCCTTTGAAATATAGACGGAGCATTTGCCAATCCGAATGGCATTCTTGTGAATTCATACTGTCCATCCGGAGTGACAAATGCTGTCTTATTCTGAGAGCCTTCCGAAATAGCTATTTGATAGTAACCCGAAAATAAATCTAGAGAAATAAATAAACTATTACCTGATAATAAATCTAGCTGATCATCTATGAGAGGTAATGGATAGTGTTCTTTTTTAGTTTTATTATTTAAGGCACGATAATCGATACACAATCTCTTATCTCCCGTTTTCTTTTTTACTAGAACAATAGGACTAGCGTATGAGGATTTTGATTCTTTTATCACTCCAGCATCTAACATATCTTGGACCATTACCCTAACTAGTTCTCTATCTGCATATGGTAACCTATACGGGCGATAAACGACAGGCTTAGAATCAGTTAATTCTATTTCCATTTTAACAATATCTGTATATCCTAAGTCTTTAAGACCAGACGAGAAACAAGTGTTAAATTCGTAAAGTAATTTTTTTAAGTTATCTATTTGTTCATTATTTAAAATGTTACCTACATTTAGTTTATTTAAATCTTCTGAACTTAAAATATTAACTGTCTTTTCATTATCAATTATTTTAGCTCTATTAATTAAAATATTGTTATTAATATTTAATTCATTGTCAGAGAGATTTAAAACTAAAATAGAACTTTGTTGATTTTCAAAATTGTATTCGCCTGGCATTAAATAAAAATTATATTTAGGCTTTCCTCGTATAGTACCATTAACATAAAAAGAACCTGTATATTTAGTATCTGAAGTGACTTTAACTATTCCTACGGTTTTCGCAGGTATCGTGACTTTATCGTTCGAAAATAAACAAAGCTTTTGATTAGGATATCGCTTAAAAATCAAGCCAAAGGGTGTTTTAGTAATAGTGATTCCCGGTTTTTCGGTAAATGAGTGGCCTACTAATATGGGATAACTAATTACATGATCTGCAACAATAAAAACCTCTACGGTTTCAATAATATTTTGAATTTTAATTTTTACTATAGTTGATCCTATTGGTAGAACTAAGTTATTGCCTAATCCTCTCAAATTAGGTAAGTTACTTTCTTTCCATCTTAAGTTTAGTTTTAGTGCAACGTTAAGGCGTAACAAAGTACATTGACTACCTAAATCTATATAACCTTGCATAGTTACACCATTAATTTCTACATCCAAAATAAATTTCTGATTTGTATCTGAATCATTATTTACTTTCAATACAGTTTTATCCGTTTTTTCATTACTTGTTGACGGTAACTTCGGACATGTTGCCGCCAAGTGACCTATTCTATTACATATTGTACATCGCAAAATACGTTTTGTGCATCTATAGCTATAGTGACCAGGTTCATTACAATTGTAACAGATAATCTGTGCGTTATCATTTTGAGAACGTATTGGTTTGTTATTATTATTAGAGCTAATGTTATTATTTATAGTGTTTTGATTGTTTCTCTTTTCAAATGAAATTTTACTTCTATCTGTATCCCGTAACTGTTGCTTAATAGATTTAAAATATTTTAATACTTGTTCAGGTTCAGTAAAACTAGCAGCCTTTGCACCTAACCTGATTGACCTATCATCTAACCCATATAACAAACAATCTACCGCACGTTTATGGAAAATTTCAAGGCGATTTAATAATTTTATTTTAGCGTAATAATAGTGTTCTAATGAATCACCTATTTTAGCTTTTACTGATAACATTTCTGTAAGCAATTCTGCATAGTCATCTCTACTAGGAAAAGATTCTAATAATTTATCTTTCCACTCAGTCCAACTAAATAATAAGGAGGGTAATCCCTCGTACCATGACTTGGCTAACCCAGCTAATTTTGGCAAAGCATAATGAATAATTTGCCTATCCGACCAACCATATATCTGTGAACACTCCTCTACTTTACTAATCCACATATGCACTGTTTGATCTTTCGACATTGGGTCGAATTCGGGTATAACATTGCCTAGGACTGGAAATTTGTCGGTTCGACTTTGACTATTGTTCATTGTTTGTAACATTTCCCGAATGAGTAAATGAGTATCATACAAACTATTATCAACAGAAGTACGTACCCTCTTTCTCTGGTCCTGTTGACTATCCACTTCAGTATTCTGTCGTCGTCTTCGAGATCGAATCCGCGAGGCTGCTGAACTTCGGCTGCCACTGCTGCTGTGTCGACGTCTTCTTGCTTTTCGCCTCTTGGAACGGCTTCCAGAAATTCGTCGTTTACGCATGTCAGCCCGCGTATTACTCCGACAACTTGAACTGCTTGAACTGCTACTACGTTCACGTCGTCGTGGATGCCGCGCCTGACTTCTATGAATTCCACGAGCATCTTCACATTGTAATCGAGTCACGTCGTTCGTTTGCTTGTCCCTCGGTAATGTAGGTGTACCACTTTCACGCCTTACAGTTTCACTATGATGAGGACTTTTTGATGTACTCATATTCATATCGATGTAAAATGTCGTTAGCCGATATGTGTTGTAGAATTAACACCGTACATCCCACTTCTGAGATGACGGGATGGCCAATAAAACGTCGTTATTCTCGTAATTAATGTATATATTGTACTGCTTTCCACCAAATATGAAGCAAGACTAAACTAAATATTCTAACAAAGTTCATAACGAAAAGTAGGGTTGACCTACTTTTTAAAATATTGACAAGTGTCAACTGACATTCAGAAAATACATTTTATAAACACAGAGTATAAATTCGGTATATAAATTAGTAATCCTAACAGTAAGAAGTTATACTTCCTTAGAACAAAAATAGCTAAAGATATCATCCCGTACGTCACAACTCTCTGTTTGTAAAAGGCATGCAGCCAACTTCATCATGTCGCTTTTTGGCTGTCGGTGTGCGCGCATAGTAAAAATTTTACTTTTAATTTTTTTCCAAACGTGCCAAAACAAGTACAACTTCAATATACTTACTACGACAAAAAGACGCCTAATTTTTAATTGTAGAGTTTTATTGATGTTTTGTTTCCTACACTTAAAGTCGTGGGTTGATTGTCGAAACGAATAATTTTTTGTATTGCCCATACATGTTTTAAATAATATTTTTTTTATCTTAACGATCTTCATCTTAATCATAATCAGATTACGGCGATTTTAAGGGGGCCGGATAAGGATAAATGTCTGTTTACATATTTTAAGTATTTGTTACTAACAGAATCGAATATACAACCTTCTCTCAAAACAATGCCAACGGAGCACAGTTATACTACGCAACATTATTGTAAATTTAAATAAATATCTTCCTTGTTTTTAATGTCCTTTAGGTAATAACACATACCTATTAGGTAACACAAATAAAATATTCTCGAAGCTTATCATAATAAATTCAACGCTAAAAATAAATATATAATGTAACATGTAACGAAGTTACCTAATAATATACACAATAACAAAGTAGAAATTTACAGGGAAAAAATGTTTTTCCATTGATTACGTTTTATCTAGAAAAGCATGATTGCGTGGCGGTTAACATATATTGTATGTAGAGTGATAAGGACCTGGTTATTCAAATGTAGTTGAATGTAATAAAGCTGCTATTTATATATGTTATATTATTTTGCAAATTATATTTTAGATATCATTCAAGACTTCGTTTATCGTTTCGCTATTTTTCTATAGATAGGAACATTTTATCTATTTAGAATTAAAGTCTTTTATTGAAAAACGTAATTTGTAGTAGTACTGAAGACATAAATTAGCACAACATGCCAGTTTTATTCAAAGTAGTATGGCAGCATGTTTCGTGACGGCGTTCATCTGTGAAGGACGGCTTCGTATCATTCACTTTGATTTGACGCCTGACTTCTAACCGCTAACCGGTATGGTATAAATCACAAAACAAAGGCTGAAATGACTGGGAAAATTATTTCAAAATATATTTGTTTATTTATATTGTCGTTTTAATTTCATTTGTATTAATAGTATTTTTTTACTGGAATATTCACCGTTTATGTAGAAGATGTAATATAGATATCTAATGCCTGAAGGCTGATTTCTAAAAACTTCCTAGATTGCAACATGTTTTGAACTAATTATTATTTTAAAAAGTGTGTGTGTGAGTCATTCCTCAATCACTACATCAATCAAGTTACATAAATATATTTATAGTACACTAGCGACTCACCCTCGCTTCGCTCGGGTTCGTCTCTACTTACGTTTTAACGTTTAGTATCGATTTCTCAGAGATGAGATATTTTCTCGCCGTAAAAAATATTCTATATGTTGACCCGGATAACCAGCTATCATCATACCAAATTTCATCAAAATCCCTCCAGTGGTTTTTCTGTGATGCGGTAACAGACAGACAGACAGACAAAAATTCTAAAAATTATAGATTCAGCCTCTGTATCGATAATAATGTCTATTTCAATAAGATTTTCCAAAAAATATTTAATGTACAGATTCGGCTTAGTTACAATTTTATTATATGTATAGATGAAGACATTGTTAGGAAGGTTGATTTACTTCACTATTAATATCACTTTGAATATTAATTACATCAATACTCTCGTTATTATTTATCACTGTGACATTTCAAAGTGAAAGGTGCGCAAGGTACGTTGCGCAGAAAAACGTAACGCTTTTGAGTTAAGGCTTGTATTAATTTCATTCCTCATAAAATTCATATGCTTATATGAAAATTGATACTCCAAAAACTTTTTAAGTATATAACTTACACCAATTTGCCCAAGAGGTGTCAAATGTCCAACAAATTATTTGTGTTATCATTACTGCATGTTAAATAGACGTTATATTGGCAGCTCTATCACATATTTTAATGAATCATATTACACATCAAACAACATTGTACGTGGACAGTGACAAATAGGTAGAGCTGTCCTAAGCGGAAATCAAACTTAAGAATACAAGGTTAGATCTAGACATATCGAATAGCTTAGCTTATTAAACTTATTTAAAACTTTAATCAGAAAATTATTAAAAAATATGTAAGCGAGAAAAATTCATTCATTGAATGTTTAAGCTGACATTGG